CGCGGTTTAGTGAATAGTAGTTTCACGCTGCTTTTCTATGCCTTCACACAGTAGCTGTTAACTTTTGTAAAAATAAACATTGAAAAGTGAATTTAATTCACTCTTCATTGTTTTGGTTGAATTGAATATTGTTTAAATTTTATTTTTTATTATGTAAGTTAGACACAATTTAATAAAAAAATTGATTTTTTAATTATATTTTACTTAAAAAATTGATGTTTAATATTATTAAATAACACCACATAAATTAAAATAAGATCGTATAATGATGTATCATTTGTAAAATTTAATCATAATTTTAATTTTATTTCTGATGATATTTTACCTGATTTTATTGTATGCTGAAAAAACCATGCAAATTACAATCCTTATCAAATGATTTTCATATGTGATGTAATTTTAAATAGGTTAATGTAACAATACATATGTGATGTAATTTTAAATAGGTTAATATAACAATAAAAAAATATTTAATATAAAAATATTATTTATTTAATGATGTAACAATAGTAGTTAAATTTATAATTTTTAAATTAAAAATAATTAATATTAATATATATCTTTTTTAGTTATTTTATAATTTTAATTTGAAATTTTTTTTTTACCAAACACATTGAATTACATTTTATTCAACCTCAATTTCAACCATAATTTTAACCAAATATATATAAATATCATACCAATATCAATCAAAAATAATTTTTATAAAATAATTTTTTTTGTATCATAACAAAAAAAAATTTACTGCAGTACAAAACACTCAATTAAAGATGGGGTTGGTCGTGATAGCTTAATTGAAAGATAGGGTTTGGTTCTTATAATAAAAAGAATAAAAACAAAAAAAAATTCAGAAACCCTATTTCATGAATCAAGCTATTATTGACACGATCACACGCATATAATAATTGTGTATCATGATTATTTTGGTGACCATAAATAGTTTAATCATCAGCTACATTAAAACTAAATAAATTAAAAGATATAAGGAAAGCAAGTAGTTATAGATATATCTCACTATTTATTAGAATAATAATTAAAAAAAAGTATTGTAGTTACAGAGACATTTCATTGTTCATTGGAATAGTAAAATTATATTTTCATTATCAATAAAAAAATTCATGAAATTTGCAATTAGAGGTAGAATGTTTTAAAAAGAATATATTCATCATTGTAAAGTTGACCGGAGACAAATCGGTGAGAACATTTTTTTATAGTAAAATGACTATTTTGCCATTGCAAACAAAAAAATATTAACTCTTTGATAAAGAGCTCTTTAGTTTTTTTATTTTAAAAATAATAAGATATGGTCATACGAGAAAAAAAGTGAACATCCAAGAAGAGACTTCTTCTTTCTTTCTAATTTTTAAAACAATTAAATGACAGAATAAGCTTGGGAACCAAAAAGGAAATAAGGTTGATTTCAAGGTTGTTTTAGTCCTTTTATTTTAGTTTTTTGTTATTTTTAGATTTAGTTAAGGGTTATTTGGTAATTTTTAATAATTAAAAAATTTCCATGTATCAACGCGTGACGCCCTCTACACCATTCGAGCGGCGCATGCAGAGCACTTCAATTACCAAAATCCTCTATTCGTGATGGCTTTGGGAGCAGCAAGATATTCTATTTTTGGTGGAGTGTTGCGTACTTAAGAAGAGGTCCAGTTAGGATGAGGTAGAGTTTTTTTTTTTTTTTTTCCTCTTTTTTTATGATGCTCTTAAAATTCATGCCAACCTTTTAAAAAAAAGTGTCATTGAGACTGTAATTGTATCAATTTTGATCCCTTTTTTTATTTTTATTTTTGCAGTTTTTGATTCTTTTTTAAGTTTAGCATTTTATTCCATTTAATTTTTTTATTCAATTTAATCTTTTTATTTTTTATTGCTTTATTCATATGTTTTATACTTTTCCTGATTATTATATTTTTATAATTTTATTTCTTATCATTTTATTGCATTTAATTTTTTTATTCAATTTTAGTCCTCATTTTTTTATTAACTTTTTTTTCTTATCATTTTCTTATTTTATTTTATTTTTTAATTTAACCCTTGAATTGTTTTCTTTTATTAGTTTATACTATATTTGATTTGTATTGTTTGAAATTTAAATTGTTTTATGGTTAAATATTTTTATTTTGTTATTTTTTCATGAGTGCTTTCCAACATGGCAATCTTGGGCTCATGACTAGGCTCAATTCAAGTTTAGTCTCTTTTTTTTGGGTTTTTTATTGAAAATTATTTTTTTTAATTTATCGTTTAATATTTAGTTATTAGACTATTGACTTCATTGTTTGTTCTTTTTTTATATTGAGTTATCCCGACCTCATATCTCGGATAACAGATTTGTCGAATTAACCATGATTAACTTAGATTTTTTTCCTTAAAGGGTTTTTTTTATGAAATTCATTTTTTTTATAGCTTCATTCTTTAATGTTAAGTTATTGACCCATGAGCTATGTGATTTTTTTGTTTTTCTTTATGTTTGGTTATTTTGAAGTGTAAGTTAATCAAGTTAACTCACGTTAAAACGTATTTTCTTTCTCATTTTTTTTATTGAACTTCAGTTTTTTTTACTATGGTTTTTTTTAGAAGCCTATTTTTTTTTTTATCTCAATCTCATATTGTGAGTAATGGGTTAGTCAAGTTAACCTGAGCCGACTCAAAAGGTTTTCATTGGTTTTTTATATTTTTTATTTATAATTTTATCATTTTGCATTAAATTATTTGTCATTAAACTTTGTTATTTTTTCATTTTTCTTTTTGTTTGGTTATTGCAAAGGCAAGTTGTCAAGTTAACTCGAGTTAATTTATATATTTTCTTCTTAATATTTTGTTATTCAACTTTGGTCTTTTTTGCTAGATTTTATTTTTGAAAGTTTTTTTTTTATTCAGAGCTTATGTAACGAGTAAAAGGTTAGTTGAGTTAACCTAAGTTAAATCATATTTTATTTTAGTGCCTTTCAAGACAAAAAAAAAAACAACAACTTTGGTTTATGATCATTTTTATCCTTTCACATTGATTTTTTTGTTATTTTTAGTTGGAGTAGGGGGGTTGATATATCCTTTAATATTTAGATAATATTAAAAACATGATTGAAGTGTGCATTGCACAAATTAACACACAGAGAAATATCGTGGTCTTTAAATGAGGCATGTAGGGGCGTTATTATTAAACAAATGTTTTCAAGGCGGTTACCAAATCATCTTTACAACCTCTTCATCCTTAGTTAGTATGTGTCCTGAACAAATCTTTGATTTGGTGTCAACCAACCTTTTTTTTTATGTCTTTCTCTTTTTCCTCCTTGGTTTTGGCCCCTAGCCCTATAAATTTTCAAAACTACCCCTCAATTTCTCTTATTTTCGGATTTGGCGCATGTACTCTGGGTTTTTAATTTTTATCCTTAGTGTTTGGTCCTTTTGTAAAGTTTTGATTTTTTTTTCAATTTAATCTTCAAATCTCAATTTACCATTTTTTTTCCACTTTGGTTCTCATTCTTCTAAAGTTTTTTTTAAACCTTTTGTGTAATTGTTTTTAGTTTTCAATTTCATCCCTCAATATAAATTTATAGTATATTAATTTTTTCAATTTTTTCATTCTTTTATTAACGTTATTTTTCTTCTCAATTTCACCATTTAGTTGAAGATTGTGATTGCCTTCTAATTTATTTTTTTATTTTGATTTTATTTATATTCTTCTAATTGCTATTTTTTGGGTTTCTTTTTTATGATTGTTTTATTTTTTTTCAAATTCATCCTGCAATATTTGATTTACCAAGGATTGATTTTCATGGTTTTTTCATATATAATAGTTCCAATCTAATGACCCATATCATGGATCTAATAAGTTAACAAAAGTCAATATTTTTTTTGTTTTTTTTTATTTTTATCTTTTGAATTTTTTTAAATTAACTTTATATTTTTTTTAAATTTATTTTATATAAAATTATCTCAATCTTACGATTTGAGTCATAAGTTTTTTGTGTTAATCCAAGTTGGTTTGCTTCTTACCACTCAAGTCACGTATCTATAATGCTATCTCAAGTTGATTCATATTAATTTTTTATCTAATTTTATGCTTTAATTTTTTTTTAAAGTTATCATGATTTTTTTATTTAAAAAATTATTTATTTACTAGTGTTATTAATTTGATTATCGTGTAGTTAAAATGAATTAATTAACTTATTATACCATTCAAGGCTATGTCATTGGTTCTTTGTTTATTTTTTTCAAAACGTTCCTGCGGTAGTGGACATTAGTTGCTTTGGAAAAAATATGGACCGGCTACGTAATGCGGGCCCACACCTAGTACATAAAATCATCAAATACCCTTTCCATCGTGGAGGAACTTTAAAAAAATGAAAATGCGGCTGAAAATTGAATCAAGACTATTCAAAATCCAACAACCACCATCTAATTCACTGGCACTTTCCTGGATGATATATTATGTATGTGTGTGTGTGTTTGTTTGTTTACATAAAATTTAATGATAAAGTTATAAAATCTTATTAACATCTTCTTATTCACTTGTTAGGATTTGTCAATTTAAATTTGGTATTTTGCATAATAGCTCAGTTTTTTTTTTTATTAATATGTATATTCAGGTCTAGTTATGTATATTTTGATTAATCTGATGTATCCTGAATTTAATAATTATATGAATTTTTAAAATTTATAAGATTTAAATAAATAATTCTTAAAATATAAACTTATAACATAAATAATTAAACTACACCATTTGATGCTCAGTCTACCTTTTATAGGATGATGTCACCACGTGGAAGATAACGAGTTAATCTATTCATCAAGCTGTTACCTTCTTTCACTCGGTCCGTCATGAAAGGCCGGCTGACCTTTTAAGTTTTAACTCTACGTCCAACTTGGACTCCAATGCCTCTGGAAAGTCTCTATCAAGGTTAAATTTGTAAGCTCAACACCTACCCTACTGTTTATTTCTTGTGGTGACTTCTCCTAATGACGTTCTCAATGTCACGAACAGGGCTCACGGGTCCAGTCTTGTCTTCTTCTTCTTCTTTTTTCCTGTTTTTTTCGAGTAATTAAGGGATGAAGGATTTTGAAGTTTGCACAATAGAGTATGGCCATTGAAGTTTCAATGTTGGTGGTTGTATTTTGAGCAAACAAGAAAGCAAGTGAATTATAGGGGGGCTATAATTTACTGTAAACCACTCTTTTCTTTTAGTTGTTCTTTATAGTTTTTGGTGCTGAGTATTGACTTTTAGCTGCTTCTACTACTTGGAAGGCAGTAGACAATGAATGTTAAATAAGATCAAAAGAAAGTGATGGCACAACGTGTACGAAGCACTTTCTTCATCATTTTGATTAGTCACGCTAGGATTTGTTTCTTCTTATGTGTTTTTGATTGCTAAGCTCTTGCAAAACTGTAATCCTTGCTAGGATAGTGGGCGCGTGTCTTAATTGCAAACAAGAACATCACGAAGTGACGATCATTTTTAAATAATTCTTTGTAAATGATGACAAATGGTTGTTTTTCAGTCAAATTTGCAATGGATTCATGTTTTGATCCGAAGACTGCTATGGTGGCTTTAATTGTCCTCACCTAAAGACAAGATGGAGAGAGACGTATATTTTTATTTTTATTTTTTTGTGGTGGATGGCATTGTTTCTTTGACAAATCAAATAAACTACTCATTACAGCAATTTCTTTACCTTACTTTTGAAACTAAAACCACACTGTCCACTGGTCATCACAACAATAGTCGTAATTATTGAACAAGACAATGATGACTTAAATGTAGACCACCCAGTAGGTGTACACACAATCGGTCTTTACTTGACCCTATCGTGATGTTCATGTAACGAATTATGATATATCACCGAAAAAAGGAAAAAAGAAAGAAATTGCTATGATAGATTTCGACTTGGACGGTACCTGTTCAAGCTCTCATTTAATCTTTCTCGAGAAAAAAACCTTCACTCTTCGTCTATTATCTCCAATTCTTTCAAACTAGCTCCCAGTGATCTATACTGTTGTTGCAGTTTAGATTCAAAGATGACCACTCATTATTCGTAATCCCACCTTGAAAGTTGAATCAGAAAGTAGAAAAGGCAGAAGAGATGATTAGCCATGCCAAAAAGAATTTCCCACCGAACAAAGCATCTTCGACCTCAAGAGCCTAAAGCAATAAAAACCTCTAAAACCAGCAACCAACCCTCTTTTTCTCAGGAAGATGAGAAGGGAGGATGGGGCTGCTTCCTCCCTTTGGGTTGGGTCATGGGTGCTATCCTTCCTAGCATGTGTCTCTTGCAATTGATTTCCATCCCTTTCGTCAATTATTAGCCACAGCCAAGTTAATATCCATCCTTGTTTTTACCCTTTTCCCTACTTCCTAACAAATAGAGCCTAAAACAAACTTCACATCCCGACATTGCTTCCGTGTTGAACAGATTATGGCTTGGCCCAGGGCAAAAAAATATAGTAATGATATACGTTGAGGCCTACATGCTAGGCCCAGGGCAAAAAAATATAGTAATGATACGTTGAGGCCTACATGCTATCTATAACATTTCCGGTAAAAGCAATGATGATTGGCGCCGAAGAAAACTAATTGAGATTAAAATAAGGCAGTAAGTACGCACCCAACACATGCAACCAATTATTATCTTATTAACAGTTTTAGGAACAAGTATGTGATCAGTACACGCCACCTGAGACCAGTGACTCCATTACAATGCAGAAACCAAGAAGTTGGAAATTGAAGAATTTCAGACAAAATTCCAAGCAACTCATTGCTGGCTGAACTAACAATGAATCAGCATTCACTTGCTGCTAAAAATACAAATCCAACTTTGATCGATTAAGATATATGGATGATTTCCATCTTGAATTTAGTAGCATTACGGTCAAAGTGATGTACCTAAGATAATTTATTGCAACCGCAGGCTTATTCTCACCATGGAGGTTATTGCATCTCAGCGAAACCTCTCCACATGCCATCCTGGTTCTTTAAAGATCACATATATATCAATACACACGAGCCTTTGGTGGGAAGGTCTCAACCTCATCATCCAATGTGTTCATGTGAACTGGCCTGTAATCAAGTCGGACCTTCTCCTTCTCCCAATACCTGCAAATCCAACAAGCACCGTCGTGTTAACATGAATGAATAATGAGAGGTTGACTTGGATGGAATCACAATCCTCCAAACTAACAGGTTGACTCATCATTTGAATTGCTCCATTTCAGAATTCGGTTTCTGCTATGATAACATGAAATCTACGTCTTCGATTCAAATAAATAATCTTCTGGTAGAAACAAAGATCTAAGACTCACCCCAGAGTGTGCTTCATCCATTTCTCATCATCTCTTTTCTGCAAAAGCAAAGCAACTTACTTTTATTGCAAGAAAACTGAAAGCAAAAGAGAAACAATTAACTGGAGAGAGAACTAGACTAACAGTGAAGTCTTCACGGGCATGTGCTCCTCTGCTCTCTTTCCTGGCTTCAGCAGAGTGCATAGTTATACAGGCATTTATCAAAAGGTTTTCCAGCTCTACAGTCTCGATCAAGTCAGAGTTCCTGTTAAAAGACATGATAATTGAAGTTCAAACAACAAAGAAACTGCAATTAATTTGATCATCAACAGCCTCAACTGTAATATACCATATTAAACTCCGATCTTTCACTTTAACATCATGAAAGCTTTCCCATGCTTTATCAATCAAATGACAACCTGCAGAAGTAACAGGGTAGGAATAATAAGCTTAGTAAGATAAATATTGTCAAAATAAAAATTGCCTCAAAATAATGGCAGTATAATCAAATTGAAGCCAATTGAAAATTTAAAATAGTAAATAATAATAATAATAATAATAATTTAGAACTGTGGGACTGGTATTTGAGTCCTAAGCCCTTCCCTTCAAGTTCATGTAATAATAAATCAATTTTACAATTCATGCAAAAAGGAGAAAAAGAAAGGCATAAGGAAAAGGGGAAAAGATTGGGACAATCAATATCCATTAAATGCAGTTAGAGAATCGTATGGTAGAGACCATATTGATTTAATATAACGTACCAACAAGAGGAAATAGTGATAGTTCACTTTACTAGATCAACATGCATTCCACAACATGACCTGAGAGTTTTGGAATTATAGCAAGACAAAACAGTAGTTCATGTAAATTGATTACCCTCTTCCAATGTTTCTTGCGTGCGAAACACTGCAGCATTGCTCTGCATTATCCTCTGCATATTTAACCGAATTTGTGAAGTTGGAAGTGATCCATTTGAATTTCTTAGTTTATCCAGCCGTGCAATAGTTCTCTCCCCAGCATCCTTTTCCAAAGGTTTCTGTTTCTCCCCTGCAAAATGAGATTTGAAAACATCAAATCCTTGGGCCTTTCTTTTTCTTTGTATAGGAAACTAAATCCTAACACCTACCCCATCGCTAATTCATCTACAGCAATTAAACATTCAACTTGCCTGGTCTATTGATCTCAGCTACTCTATTTGCACAAGCTCGGCCAAACACAACAATGTCAAGAAGAGAATTTGCACCAAGTCGGTTGGCACCATGAACTGAAGCACAGGCTGCCTCGCCAGCAGCCATTAGTCCAGGAATAACAGCATCTGGATCATCACCTTTAATGGTTACTACCTGAAGAACATAATGAGATACAGTTAAGAAAGCAGGATACTGAAAATGAATTTGAGAACGTGTGATGGAATCGAGAAACAACATTGTCTGATTTAAAAAAATATTTGCTGATTTAAAATGTGATCTTTCATGAACATGTTATACTGAAGCATGATAATTTAATCCTAAAGAAGCATGATAATTTAATCCTAAAGCACCCAGTTCTAAATATTTTCTCAATCGAGTATTTAGCCTTCTGTTAGTTTATGTACACTTTTTTTGGAAGAAGTTTGGTTTATGCACACACTTGTTTTATAGCATCTGACTAGTGACAGTAGCAGAACCCAAAAGATGCATTTCTTTAACTCTCACCTCTCCATGGTAATTTGTGGGGATTCCACCCATGTTATAATGCACAGTTGGTAACACTGGGATGGGTTCCTTTGTAACATCCACACCAGCAAAAATGGCAGCAGTTTCAGAAATACCAGGAAGCCTCTCCTTGAGCACATCTGGGGGCAAGTGATTCAAGTGCAGATAGATATGGTCCTTCAAAGGTCCTGTCAAAACAGCATGAAATCCGTTCTATATATTAAACTGAGTATCCATATCAGATAGAGAGCAGGTACTAACTTTCAAGCCTTGTAGTCTAGTGTAACAGGGCAACCTATGGATATATAGCTTATCACTCAAACCTAAAAGTAGATACTGGTCCAGGCATAAATAAATGCATTACAACTTTCGCATGATTCACAAGAAACAAGCAACTGCAAGTATAAACTAGAAAAGAACAAAAATAAACATAAGAAATATTTGTTACTAAAACCTACATTCTAATCAAACAAAAATCTACTGTTCTGAGAATCTGTTCTAGATCAGCTCACTGTTCAAGTCAAATCTTAAGATGCAAGAAAAATAATGATAACAAACATACACATAAAATCTGCTAAATGCATGTCATTAGCAAATATCTGGATCTAGCAATCAAGCATACCTACACCACGACCTTCCCGAATTTCCATAGTCATGGATCTTGAAACAACATCTCTTGAAGCAAGATCCTTGGCTGTAGGTGCATACCTTTCCATAAATCGCTCACCTTCACTATTCCTAAGGATGCCACCTTCACCACGAGATCCTACATGACACAGATAAAAAATAGAATCAGACATTGTTCAGTTTAAAATGAATAAAAATCAGTTTATTTGGAGAAAGTAATCATGATACATTCATAACATGAAAAAAAAAAAAAACAAAAGGAAAAAGACATGCAACGTGTTTTCCAAGTGAGCTGAAAAAAGAAGCAACCTTCTGTAATGAGGCACCCAGCCCCATATATGCCTGTAGGATGAAACTGAACAAACTCCAGATCCTGTGGAAGTACATCAAGAAGAAAATAAATACCTGGATATGAAAACTTCAATAATACTCACTTCAGGTATGAGAATCACAGCTAACCTCAAGTGGAATCCCGGCCCGTGCAACCATTGCATTGCCATCTCCAGTGCATGTATGAGCTGAGGTTGCAGAAAAGTATGTTCTACCGTAGCCCTGAAAAAACATACAAGGTTACAGGTAAATTGAAGGCATCTTTTTCAAGTACTTCAAATCCAGCAAGCATTGGCTACAATATAGTACCCCTGTGGCCAGAATTGTTGACGCAGCACGGAATCGATGCAATGTCCCATCTTCCATGTTCAATGCAATTACTCCTTGGCAACTACCTGTTCATCAAATATCAATAAGCAGTCAACTTACAGCATATGTATCCCCCAAGTATAATAACAATAAAATACACTGTTTATTCTACGTAAAGGCCTAAAAGAAAAAAAAATAAGAAAAGCAAGAAATTCAATATAGATGATAAAATAAATGCAATGTCAATACAACTAAAAAGAACCAAAAAGGCACCACTTAATGTAACATCTTGAATATGACTTGTAAGGCAACAATACAAAATTATCCTTGAACAATGATGAAAAACCATCAGCTAGCCTTATGACAGAGATCTGATAAGCTCAGTACCCAATATCCCTTGAAGCCCATGACATAAGGATGTTTCAACCAATTTGAGCAACCATGTACAAATGGTTTTAGTCCATGTATATGGAGTTTGGTTAATGGAGGATGATAAGGTCTAAGGGTAATAATGGGAAAAAAAAATTAATTGTATACCAAATAACCCCCCATTCCCTCTATTATTGATGTTTTCTATGATTTGGAGAGACTTAAAGGTTATTATAAATCCTCCAATCTTTCCTCTCTTTGGAAATAAACCCCAAAACAAGCTTGGAGGGTTTTTAATCCCTCTCCCTTCCCTTTAAAACTCTCCCAAACATAGTCTAAGATACACCGATTGTTTTATACCACAAACAAGTGAACAATGTTAGAAAAAAATGTAAATGATATCCATAAACATACCGTCATTATTCATTAATAGATCCAGAGCAAAATATTCCACGAAGAATTGTGTATTATGTTTCATAGCTTGGCCATAGAGAGTATGCAAAAGAGCATGCCCAGTTCTATCAGCAGCACATGCACAACGATATGCCTGCCCACCTGTAAGAATAGCCAAATATTAGAAAGCTATTAACATAAAGCACATGACTCTGCAATCTCAAATCACCTTTTCCAAAATCTAGACTTTGACCCCCAAATGCACGCTGATAAATTTTTCCATCTTCTGTTCGAGAAAATGGTAAACCATAGTTCTCAAGTTCAATGACTGCCTTTGGCGCCTCCCTACACATGTATTGTATGGCATCCTGATCACCTGTACAAATATCATGGAACATTAATGTTCAAAAACAAAATTTAGTCATGACCATTACAAAATGTAGATTGTGCATATTTGTGTGATGTTCATAAGCCCCTTAGCCTAAGTCCCAATTTCCCAACACACAAAGATCTTTCAAAATGAAAAGCAGTACCCTTCAGCAAATATAAGGAATACACATGTAATGTCAGTGGTTTACTGTATCAGATGCCAATTTATCTTTGACTCTGTAAGATGAAGATAACTATAAAGGCAGAGCAGCCTCATTAAATGTAGGGTAATTACTTGCATCACAGTAAAATCTCAACTTTCCAGATTCAATGTAATGCATGCACTACAACAAAATGTTCCTAGTTCGATCAAGCAACATACCCAACCAGTCACTTCCCTTGACAGTGTCGTACATGTGCCATCTCCAATCATCTTCAGTCATATTTCCCAGAGCGGCATTAATACCACCCTGCAGAATTTGGCATTGCATAGCATATCAGTAATACATCCATCCAAAAAGAAGCAGACTTCAGATAGTGGCATCCTGTTAAGTGCAGTTAATATTTGTACTAACAGTAACTACACCCGATCCAACAGCGAAAATATAATAAAAAAAAGTCATAACAAGCAAAAAAAGAGGTGTTTTCTTATCTGAATCTTAAAGACAGGACCCTAAAGCTCACATGCCTTATGATCCCCAGTTAAAAATCACACTAAGCACAAAGACAGCACATGCCCTTCTGATCCTCATCCCCCATTCACCCATACTGCTTCCAAATATTACCAATGGTTAAAAACATGAACCTCGTATCCCAGTTAAAAATCATACTAAGCACAAAGATCGCACATGCCCTTCTGATCCTCATCCCCCATCCACCCAAACTGCTTCCAAAATATTACCAATGGTTCGAAATATGAACCTCATATCAATAACAAAACCACCCCCAGTGGTTTAGAATCCCTTATGTCTCTCGGTAAACATTGTATTAATTTAGGAAACCAAAAATGTTGATCCAGACATCTTTCTACACTTATAGCATGCACAAATCATATAATATCAGCTAGAACATAGCTCAACCACAAAATCTTCTATACATCAATATTTATACTCTACCGCCTTCAAGCTGACTGCATACCTGAGCCGCAACAGTGTGCGAACGAGTGGGAAAAAGCTTGGTAATGCAAGCCGTGTTGAATCCATGCTCTGAAAGTCCAATAGCGGCTCTCAATCCCGCACCGCCAGCTCCTACCACAACCGCATCATAAGTATGATCCACAACCGTGTACGAGGATCTCCCCCCAGTCTACCAAACAATCCACCACAAACATCATATAATCAAACAAGCAAAAATTTAACCTAGCTTATTACGAAAAATCACAAATGCAAGAAAACAAACAACATAAACAATTATCAAGAGCCGTGCTAATTTTGATTTCCAGCTTATGTCAGCAAACTAGTAAACTAACTAGCTTTTTAAAAAAAAACAATAAACAATAACTCATAAAAATTCGAATTCCTAAACAATTATAGAAAAACCCTCGATAGCAGAATCTAAACAGAAAATGTAACCCTAACATAATACAATCGCATAATATTGAACAAAAATCAACTATTAAAGAAGCTTGAAAATCACAATCAAGTAACAAGGGAGCTATCAAAAACCCTACGATTCAGATGAAAATGAAAAGAAGAGACGTACAGAATCGGTGGAGAAAAATCTGGAAATGTGAGATCTAAAAGAGTCGTTAGATGATCTCTTGGTTGAACAAGGAAGGCGAAGGCCACGAGCCACGCACCGCCACATCTCTCTCTTTTCTGTTTTTGTGTTTGTTACCTGTGATGGAGAGTTTGCAGTGAAGGAAAGTTTTTTATAATATTCTCTATCAATCTAAAAACGGGGAGAGAAGGAGGCGTGTGTTCTATTTTGTTTAATTGCCGAAGGAACAAAAAGAAAACATCGGTGGCATTTTAAGATAGATACTTGTATTTTCTCCTCTCAAAAAAAGAAAAAACAAATCTAATTTTAGTGTCCGTTTGTCCTGTATTTCAGCCTGTATCTTATTGAAAAAAAATTATTTTTTAATATTTTTTATTGTTTTAATATACTAATATTAAAAATAAATTTGAAAAATAAAAAATATTTTTTTAATATATTTCTAAATAAAAAAACAATTTTCACTATATTTTTAAACACCCTTTATTAAGAGACTAAATACTTCATATTTAAAATCTTGGTATCATGTCTTGACCATTTGAGCCCATAAATTTAAATAAAATAGTATACAAAATTATTTATTAAATTTAATTTTATATATTTCAAGACATTTATATCATAGCAATCTCAGATATTAAATTGAAAAATAGTAAATAAATGATTTAATAAATTCAACTATCATGGACTTGGGATGGGTGTTGGATCAAAATATTTATTATAGCAATCCCAATTGTAAAGTGAAATATAAGAAAATTCAAGACAATTCGAAATTGTTTTCTATTCCTCTTTTTCTTTATTTTAATCCAACTATTACCATTTACATAATTACACTAAAAAAGAAAGAAATAACATGTATTTCTATTATTTATATCTTTAAATAATAAAAATTCGATCTCAAACAGTCTTTTTTTCGGAATCTTGTTATTTCGAAGTTTTTGTGCTAAGTCAATCATTCGTGAAGAGTTGGTAGACGTTGATAGACAATAAATGATGCAACGTGGCATGAGTTTGGAGGGTAATCATGGTGATTTAGGAGACCACAAGAACAACTTCGATCGATGGTGACGTGGTGGTTGTTGCGGCGAGGAACCACGTTGGTGCTCTTTTTGGCCACGATCAATTTTTGATGGAGGAGGTAGCCACGTAGCCTAGCAACCTCACCATTAAACACCAAAAAAGTACTCCATAATTGTACTTGTCAAGGGGTCAATCGCAAGCGTGGTCCCTCTACTTAGTTAATTTGATCAATTGAACACCCTACTTCCAATTTAATTGATCGAGTCCTTCTATTTTCAGTCTTGTAATATGAACCCTCCGTCCAATTTTCGAATATCGCAATATCACAGGATAACGGCTAATATGGTAGATGGTTTCATTAGTAAACATATTTTCCTAAGTTCGGTTGGTTTTTTTTATTTTTATTATTATTAGTTATAAAAATACAGAGAGGAATTAAATGAATTTTTACTTGCTTTCCGGTCAATTTATCAACAAAATTCTAAGGAAATGGATAAATTAAAAAAATCATATTATTAAGGATGAGATATTAAGTGTTTTTTCTTTCCTGAGTTCGGAGGGTTTTTTATATATAATTTTAGCCTTTATTTTAAGAATGCTTAAAATAAAAGCAATCGCAGCGTGAAAACTCAGGAATAATTGACCCAACCCCACCATTCCTCCCTCCCCATCACGCACGCTCACACACACAAATACATAAAATATGTATTAAAAAAATAATTGTTAGCTGGTCAAATTTAATTTCCCATGAGAATGTTGTAGGATATTAAATGCGAAATTCAATATTATTTATCACAGTCAGTTTAATTTATTTTATATAATTATTTTTTAATTTATACATAGCTTTAATTTGAATATTACAGGAGCATGGGTGCCAATATTTTGCTTAGCAACATTGATTTATGATTATAATTATAGCTAATTATAAAAGGCCTTTTAAGGTTTAATTGCATTTTAACTTTTTCCTCGTACTTTGAAAAATTACACCATGCTATACAAAAATTCAAAAAAAAATTGTAAAATAAAATTATCTTTATATATAATATATAAAAAGAGATAGATCATATCCACACTTAACATTTTTTTTCTCTTTTTCTCTCTAATTCTAATACATCTCTTCTAAAATTCACGATCTCTCTCATAAAACCTAAAAATCTAAACCATAAAACTAATAGTTCTCCTCCCAAATCCAAACCAAAATTTGAATCCAAATACTCTAATAAGATCCTACCCCATCTGAATTGAATCTTCAATTTTGATTACTTCTAATCATAATTGATAATTTCTCTTTTAGGTTTTCTAAATTTGATATGCTATCAATTTTCAAATTCTATCTTTTAGGTTTTATCGTGCGTGATTTTTATAATCTCATAAATGGGTTTATAATTACTGAGGTTGGTGATTTATAAATATTTAGTGCATAATTTTGTTAAGTAAATGAATGAGTGTTTAAGACCCTTAAATATTGCATAAAAGAAAGATCATTATTTGATTATCGCAATTGCAGATAAGCCTTTTAATAACTCTCAGTGACAGGTTGACACCAAGTTTAATGCAGCTGAGCTTCTTAAAACTATAGGGTCTAAGCATTCAAGTGAGCTAGCACTACTAAATGAGGATCTGATCCAAGCATGCTACGTGGATAGTATAACATATACTTAAATTTTATCAAGTGATTCTATATGTAGCTTAAATTTTATCAAGTGATTCTACATGTAGTTTTCTTATGGGAAGCCATTATCAACAACAAGTTGCTAGCTTGATTATAAATAATGATGGCTGCAAGAACATAGTTTTATACGGAGACAGTAAAAAAGCTTCAATTAACTATTGAAAATTATCCTATAGCATATAAGCTGGCATGGTTGAATGGAAACATTGAGGTGGTTGTTGATAAACATTGTCTTATTTCTATTTTCATGGGATCAAAATATTTTAATAGCATGTGTCGTATTTTGTTAGCACAATTGTAAATATAGAAGTTGTGGTCATATATTTTAGATGTATTTAGTTGTTAAAAAAAAAAACCTAGTGCTACGTGGAGTTTTAAAAAAATGTGCTGTGTGAGCTGAGTTAGTAGAATATTTATGTTGTTTTGTGTAAATGCATAGCAGTGTAGGAGCATGGACTGAATTGATCGCTTTAAATACTATATATTAGGGGTGGTTTTTTAACGAAATAAAATTCGAGCATCGTTTAGTGAAATGATGGGGAAGCATGGCCTAAATTGCTAAAGGAAAAAGATTTAAAAATATTATGAAACTTCAGAGATATTGTTAAAGATTTTTAGACAGGAAAACATAACCCTGGAAGTTGGATGACACATTTTAATTATAATATAATGAAGAAGAATAAGAGCCTCGTAGTTGTTTTATTAAAAAACAATATTTAAAATTATATTAAACTAATAATAAAATTATATTTTTTATAATTATTTTTAATATTAGTACATTAAAGTAATCTAAAAATATTTAAAAAATTAATTTTAAAAAAATTAAACGAATAATGTACTGGATACAACACCAAAGACTTTCTTGTCCTCTACTGTGAACGTCAAAATCATGTTAAGCCTCTTAATAAACTAAGAAAAATGATTTAAATGCTTGTCTAATGTTAAAGGTTCTTTTAAATGTTTACATGAACAAAATGTCGAGAAACTAAATTTATGATATGGTAAATGAACAACTCCGAAAATACTAAATCACATCTAAAACATAGCATTCATCATCAAAAAGAAAAATAAAAAAATAATGGAAAAATGGAAAAAGAAAAAAAAGAATATGTAAATGATTTGAGTGCAGTGTTTTACAAATGAAAAATACAAATTGTGAGGTGGTCAATTAGGTAATTAACAAATAACATGGTCAGTCCCTCTGCTATTTTTGTTTTTTAATCCAGCCCCTCATCATATTAATTTGTTAATATGATCTCTGTACTTCATGATTTTGTGTAAAGTGGACCTTTCATCCAAGTCAAATTGTCGAGTCTGACCAAATATATTATTAGTGGGTTATTTAATCATTAAAAAATTTAAAAAATATATATTTTATTAAAATTGTGTTTGTCTGGTTACACATAAAAGTGCTGAGATTTTTTCAATCTAGTATTTCCCTTCGGTTTTTTAAAAATTGATCATAAATAAAAGCTCTTCTAGATTTTTTAAATAATTGGTCACCATTTTTTAATTAGACACAAAAATCTTTCCCTCTGTAATTCATTTTTTAGTTTAATTAATATAATAATGACTTTACATTACTTAACATTAACTATCTATATATTTTAGGATTTTGCAAATATAAATTGGTCAGTTTAATCTTGCACAACCCAATTTCTTCAATCATTGGAAAAATATTTTTTTTTCAATTTTTTTATATCAAGTATCGATTCAAATTTATACCAAAAAAAAAAAATTGGCCTAGGTATGAACTTGCCTTGTATTAAATGACATGCGAAAATATTGTTCAAAACTAATGTTTGACTAAAGATGGAATTGGATGGAACGTCCATATATTAAAAAAAATCGTGAAGTACGAGAGGCCATAAACAAATTAAATTTGCGAGGGACCAAATTATTGAAATCAAAATTATGGAGGGACTAACATTGGCATTCTACCTTACAAAATGAAAATGACCTGGGTTGTCGCACTGGAGTCCAAAATAACAGTTTTGGTTGTAAGATAATCTCAACGCGTGTTTGGAGTTACAGTTAAATCATTTTTAAATTGTTTTTATTTAAAAATATATTAAAATAATATATATTTTATAATTTTTTTTTTATATTAATACATAAAAAAAAAAAAACTATAATTTCAAACTAAAAAAAGAAAATTCAAAAGTTTTTAAAAGAGCATTCCAACCACAAAAACAAACACTTACATTACCACAAGGAGTGAAGTGAGCATGAATATACTAAGATTTCGTCTAATTTGACATTTTAAAAATGTTTTTAAATTAAATTTTTTTATTTTTATATCGATGTTTTATTATAAAAAGTAATTGAAAAAAATATTATTTTAATGTATTTTTAAATAAAAAATACTTAAAAAAATAATTATAATTATATTTTTTAAAATAGCTGGGGTAGATGAAATGGAGACAAAGACAATGTTAATATTGGCATAAGTAATAATGGTAAGAAAAATTAAAATAGTTGGATGATAAAATATACAATGAATTATTTAATTGATAAATTACTATGAAATATTGTTTTTAGTTTTAAAACTTTTACTGGTAGAGTTTAAAGAAAAATTAACCTCGTA